CCCTTCCGCAGCGGGCGGGCATCCGCGGACCACCGGGGATGGTGCGGCGGAGGAAGGGGTCCCGGAGCTGGGGTGGGGGCCGCGTTGGGGCACGAAGACCAAGGTAGGGCGAGAAGGGGAAAGAAAAACAATTAATTTCCGGAGGTGGCGACTTCCCCCCCCAACTCCACCGACCCCCAGCTCCAGGCCCGGAGGAGATGGCGGGGACCACCCCTGCCCCAGGCCTGGGGGTTGGACGACGGGGACCTCCAGACCGGGGAGGGTCCGGGGCCTTCCCACCGCCGTGGCGAGAGGCCCTCCGAATTAACCCTTTCGACCACGCCCTGCCGTGTTCAGCGCGGCTCCCCCACCCCAGCCTAGTTTGGGGAGTTCGCTCCGGACTTCCCCCGAAGGCCCCCTGGCCGGTCCGGATCCAACGCCTGTCGCCCCCTCCCCGTCACCTTAGCGACGACGGGATGGGGGCGCGACCTACGGGGAAGGGCCTAGGGGAGGGGGCGCTACTAGTCTCCACCTGCGACTGGGAAGTGAATTTTAGTTTTACGCGTTGTCGTGGCAACGCGGGGGGGGGTGATGAGTGGGCGGAGGAGGGGGGAGCTCAGTAAAGAAACTAGCTCAGCACCGCCGCCCCATCGGGGCGCACCAGGCCCCCCAGCCCTGAGCGGCCTCTCGGAGCTGTCCAGCACTGCGAGCCCCTGTGCCCCCAAGAGCAGCCCCTAAGTCGAAATAGCTCCAACTCCTACAGAACTCTCCCAACCCGCTCTGCCTGGCGTTCCCCACCCCCCACTCCCGCCCCCGAGCAGCCCCAGATCCTCGTAGAGGAGCCGCTGGCCCCCTGAAGGCAGAGCTTGAGAACGTTCCCAGAAGAGCCTGGCCGGGGGAACCCTTCTGCCTAAGGAGGAAAACAGCCTGTAACCCCCAGCCTCCCCAACAGCAGCTCCAGATCACCCACAAAACGGATTTTGCCTGAGCCTCCCAGGAATAACCTGGAACTGCTCCGGCCCCTGTACACGTAGAAAAACCTCCCTACCCTTCCCCACCCGCCACAACCTGGACCATCCTAAACACCCTGACCCACACCGAACAGAGCGCGACACTCCCTCCAAGAACAGCCCCCCCGGCCCCACAGATCCACCTCCACCGCCTGCTCACCCCAGAGCACCCCTGACCCCATATAGAGTGTTTCTGATGAGCCCTCTCCCCTCAAAACAGCCTCTGGTCAACCCCAGAGCAGGACCTCTCTTCCCTGGGACCAGCCTGGCTTGCTCCTCCCGCCTACCCAGGACACCACTGACCCAGCAGAGCGGAGCCTCCAGTGCGGTGTGTGGGTCACTCCTGCGTTCTCCCCACTCCTGGACGGTTGCTCCCTGCCCAGGAACTGTGGTCCCAGCATCACAGACCTTCCACCCCCCTGTCCAGGCCCCTCCCAAGGCCACTGGCCTGGCCTGAGTGGTGCAGCTGAAGGTCTCCCAGGGGAAGGGGCAGGATGGGAGGGGTGGGGGTCCCGGGAGCAGGGAGCAGGAAGGGGCCCTGGAGGCTCCCTTATCTGCAGGAAGCACCTTGGAAGGCACGAGGGCTGGATTTCCTGTGGCCCAGCCCTGGAGAGAGGAAACTAGTGCTTCCTGGCCCACCTCGTGTCTCCACCGTCTTCCTGCCCGTGTCTCTCCCACCCCGGTCACCCAGGCCCCCAACTCCCTCCCAACCCCTCCTTCAGCCCTAACCCTAACCCTCCTTGCCATCCCTCACACCACCACCTCTACCTGCCTTTGCTCCCAGGTGCCGGCCCTTCATCCCACTGTGGCCAGCACAAGGTGGTGGATGGGGCCTCTGAGTCCACCAGTGATGGACTCTCCACAACCAGGTCTTCCACAGCCCTGGGCCTCCTCCCTCTCCCTTGGGCTCTCCCTGCAAGCCTGCCCTTGGCTGGATGGACCCAGAGACCTTACAACCCCCAACCCTTAGACTGGACCTCTGGGCCCCACCAGCCGCCTCCTGCCAACCCACCAGCCCAGGTGAATCCAGCCACCCAGGCCAGCACTGGGGCTGTGGCCACTGAGCCTTTCAAGAGAAAATCGCACATCTTCACCAACCAGCAGCCCACAGATAGATGCTAGACCACAGATGGTCCCCAGACTCCGCTGGGTCAAAGACCCACTGCCCAGGGCAACACTGAAGCCCCTGCCCGTGCCTCCCTCAGCCTGGGTTCTGCACAGTGCCTGGCACGCGTGATGCTCACATCGTGAACAGAGTCCAAGCCTGAGTCACTCCCCAGCTCCACCGCCACCCCGGCAAACAGCAAAAATAACAATACCCACAAGCACTCACACACATGACGTCCTCCGGGTGGGTTCCTGGAGAGGAAGCCAAGGGACACGGGGTGTCTTTGCCCCTTATTTTGTTGAGAATAATCCCAACGTTCCCCACGGCCTCCCCAAGCTTCCTGAGGACCCTCCCTCAGGCCCACCAGACCCCACCTGCCAGGCAGGGCCACCCTGGGCCCAGGCCTACCCCCTCTTATCTCCTGTCTCTGACCTGCAAGGTGGGGATTTACAGGACACCATGGCCCCTAGGCTTTCCTTTCCTTCCAACGGCCAAAATTCTGGAAAGATCTGTCCTTCTCACCATCCCCACTTCTTCCCCACCTGCCCCCACACACATTTAGACACAAATAGGCCTCACAAGGCCTGGGAGAGCTCATGTGGGCAAAGCACCCAGAATAGTGCTGGACACGGGTGGGGGGCAAACCAAGCCCTGGATGGACCCCAGCCCACTGCCTCGCTGCCACCCCCAGGCTGAGGCCACCGCAAGGGCCCTCCCTGCCTCAGCACTTACTGTAACACCTCCCAAACCTCAGCCCTTCTGTCTTAATACACTCTCCAGCAAGGGGGCTCACACCCCCTCCCACCGTCAGGACCTCGGGTGGGCCTGGGTTTGCCCCCCGCTGCCTTCTCTCTTACCAGAGCTGTTGGCCTCACTTCAGCTGCACTCAGAGCTGTCCCCTCCCCACCCCTCAGTATGGCTCCCCCAGCCCCTCTCACTCCCTCCCTACCCTCCGTCTCGCTTTGCCCACAAACCATGGGCGACCACTTCCCTGGAAAGATCACCGAAGGCAACACCAGCACCCCGTGCTGCTAACCCCACAGGCACGTTTCTGTCCTGTCCCATCTAACTTCCCCGGAACCTTCACCTCCCTTGGCTTCCACACCTCAGTCAGGGGAGACGACCCTCTGCTCCCAGGCCATTCCCTCCACCTTCCTCTCCCAAGTGGGCCTGCCTGGACCCACACTGCTCCGCTGCCTCACTCTGGTCCCTGCCTTCCTTCTGAGGCCCCTTCTAGCATACTCTGACTCACTTATTTGTGCTTTACTGTCTTTCTTTCCCTGCCAAAATGTAGGCACCCAGTGGAGAGAGACCTTTGCCGGTTTGGTTCACTGAAGTGTCCAAGCCCCTGGCACAGCCCTGATGCATGGCAGTGCTCCCACTGTGTGCCAGGTCAGCACAGCAGCCTCCATCTGCAAGTCCACACCCAGCTTCCCCTCTCCAGATCAGTCCCTCTCCCAGACTCCAGACCAGCTTGTGTAAGGCAGGCATCCTTGAATACATAGTATTTGCAGGGAGTAAAGTTTTTATGGCATCTAGTTATTGAATATCTATAGGCATATTTAGGTTCCATTCTATCTTGAATCTTATTTAAGTTTTATTTTTCTAGGAATGCAAATCTATTTCTAAAGAATTAGCTTTTCATTTTTTGATCATCTCTGCTTTCTATTTTATTCTGTTCTTATGTTTATTTCTTTACTTTTTTGAGTTTTTATGATTATTTTTCTTTTT